CTAGAGGATCTCAAAGTTATTTGGAAGACAGAGTGCAGGCCAGAGAAGATTTACCATAACTTTACCATAGTTACTCAGATCTGATGCTGTGAAGGACAACAATGGAATAGCTTTGCATGTTTCAGAAGGGCGAGAGTGAGGGAAGTGTTTGATCTCAGGAGTAAGTGCTGAGAACAGATGTGCTTAAGGTGGGCTCAGGCACACAGTGGTGTGGGCTACATATGGCCTTGATTCTCCTCCCAGAGAGTCTGTAAATATTACAGAAGTTGAGTTAAAAAGCAGCAATCACCAAGAAATAACTAATTGATGATAGCTGTTTAAACTTAGATTTTCTTTGTTATTGGCATTTTCCTTGCATCTACGAGCATTTTCCCAAAAGAAAACTCATGAAGCATATATTATTATATCCTACCTATCCGCGATTATACTGCATATGTAGTTACCATATGCCTTTCCTTCTATTTTGTTATAGTGACCGTAGCAATCATTATCTAAATTGTGAAAAATAGACATCAGGTTATGAAAACAAGGAACCTTTGAAGATATGTCCTTGATGCAGAACAAAACGTATACAAATAGCAACCTTCTGAGTGCTGAATAAATGAGGTAATTACCATTGAGGTTTCCAGATGGAAAAGCTGAGTCACCGGGAGGTTAAGTGACTTGCCCAAGGTTACAGAAGAAGCTATTACCCTTAGTAGCCTCCTTTAGTCTTAAGAGATATTATAAGATTAATACGTTTCATGTTTACTATACAACATGTTTTTGTTGATGCAAAAATAATGAAAGCAAGTTCGAGTTTGTGTTTTGTTTTGTTTTTTTATGCCATGTAAATACAAGTTATCCTTTTTATTTTGTCCTTCATGTTGAACAAAATGATTGTTCTCCCATATCACTAAGAACAGAGATCAACTAGAATACAGTGGTGTTTACTACATCAGTGTGTTGGAACGTGCATGTGTGTCAATAGAAACCCTTCTCAAACAAATCCCACTTTCTCTTCCAACTGCTGATTTGTACAAAAACCACATTGTGCTGCAAGAATTACCAAATAGCCAGGAAAATAAAATAAAATTTTTGATGTTATATAAAGCTATGACAGCATACATAGTTTAAGTGCTCAGTATTCTGAAACTTATGAGTTAGATGAAATTTTATCAAATTAACAGTTTTGCATGGCATAGAAAGTGTGTGCTAATAATATGTCATGTCACTCCACACAAAGTGTGAAACTGTCTCTCTGTATGTATTTTGTTCTTTTAATTTTTTATTCATTTAATCAACTGTTTTTGAGCAATTTTGGACTATAGAAGAAATTGAGCTAGAGATAAAAATATAAATTTCTATCAGTGTATTTTTCCTATCTTTCTTAAAGGCAAATAGTTCCTTCTTTATATGGAATGTCAACACATTTCCAGAGGGCCTAGTGATGTATGACACATGCACACAATATTTTTTTACAATAACAATGAAGATTTTATTGTAAGAAAGAGGTTTTTAACCAGAGAGGATGATATCATTTGACAACACAGAAATTTAATAAGAAACCAATACAATAACCATGTTTTAGGGGCCAGGGTTACAGCTCAGGAGCTTAAACCACTATCTGGAAAGCAGAAGGTCCTGAGTTTGATCCCCAGTACTGAAAAAAAAAAAAAAAAAACACATGGTTGTCTAGAATAAGTAATTTTAAGAGAATAATATTTAGCTTTCTTACTTCTTAAGCTTCTTAATAATGTCAAGTTTTTCCAATCATTTATTGAAGCAAATTTCTTTACTCTTGTTTTAATGTTCACTGCATTCTATCCTGATTTATTTTCTACTTTTCTGTCTATCAATTCTCTAACTTTTATTTTGAGGTTTTTTGCTTGTTCGTTTTCCCCATCTGCTCCTCTTTAGATGAGGGATTTTTAAATATAGAGATCTATATTCTTTCTTGTTCTCTTCTTTCTCCATACAATTTTGTGAACTAAGTGTCAAAGACACTGTGTTATCTATCCTAAAACTAAAGGTCTAGTAAATTTTGGCTTGTTAATGCATCTTAGAAATTTTATGATTTTAGTAACTCAGAATATCAGTGACTAAATTTTATATCTATCAAAAATATTATGGATTACATGCTATTTATCTAAGTGAATGAAACCAGTCTATCGTCACTAATTATGCTGTGCAAAAAAGAACCTCAAATGTCTTTTTCTATTTAAGGAACTGGCTTATAAAAAATGCATGTCCAAAATTGGCAATGTTAGCTGGAGAAATAACGAGGTAGAAAAGAACTGCATTTGAAGTCCAAACAACATTTACTTGAGGAGTTTCTTCTTCCAAAGAAAAAAGCCTTTTTCGCTTAAGGCCTTTAACTGATTTGACGAGGGCACTCAGTGTTTTCAGGAATATTCCACTGTAGTCAAAGGCTAGTATTTTAAATGTGAATTTCATGAAAAAATGAATTCTCAGTCATATATAAAATAAAGTGAGGGGTGGGGAGATAGCTCAGTGGTCTAAGCACCTGACTGGCAAGTGCAAGGTCCTCGGTTCAGTCCCAGTACGTCATGCTTTGTTGGTCCCAGAACCCTAGGTTTGTTGTGCCAACCACCAAACCTGGCTGTGGCGGTGTACACCTATAGTGCCAGCACTGGTGAGGGTGAGGCAGGAGGATCACTACTAACCTTAACTTCATAGCAAGGCCCTATTTCAAATAATTAATTAATTAATTAATTAGTTAGTTAAAATTTTAAAAAAAATGTGTGATCAAATGGCTCAGTACCACAGCCAAGTCAAGAAGCTGACACCTATGTTATAGACCATTATTATCCCCATTGTCAGCTTCAAAGATATATGTATGTACATTTACACACATTATGGTTTAGATCTAGATGTCTGACGTGTTTAGAGGTATAGTTTTTAGAAGGTAGTTGGGTCACAGGGTGCTATACTTACCAGCGCATTAATTCAGATTATGTGTAATCAAAAGCAACAGATATAGATAAAGTTTTAACTGGCAGAACCAAATTTAAAGAGGTGTCAAAATGCTTATCATTGACATATCTAAGATCTGATTGTAATAAATACTGTATAGGAGGGCTTATTAGTTTTATTACATATACTAAGCTTATACAGTCTTAATTATGTACATTTTACCTATTGTTTACACAGCTAGCATATATTGTTTGTAGGTGTATGTATCATTCAGAGTTTTACTAGAGGTCCAGATATAACACAAGATGTACAAAAGTATAAGGAATTCCAAGAGTGGCTTCTGAGGATCAGCCGCAGAGTTGGTGGGGAAGCATGCAGAGGGCGTTTGCACACTTGAGACTGAAGGATTCAGCTCAAGTTCTGGGGCCACTGCAGTGTTCTGTGCAAGTCCATATCAGGAGGTTGATGGAGCTGTGATGAAAGGCTTGTAGGTCTTATAAGAGTATCAGAAGGCTGAAGGATCCAAGGCTGAAGCCAAGAGTCTGCTCCAGAGCCAGGAAGTGTTGTCCAAGCTGATGGCAAAGACTGGATCTCCTCTGAGGAAGAATGGGAGCTTCTTTCCTTCCTCATTCTCCTTTAAGTGATGAGTCACTCTAGACTATGGCCTCCATAATCAAGGGTGTAGAATTGTTGAACTGATTTAGTTAAGCTCTTAGCTTCTCAAGTTGACACAATCAACCAACCACTACAGTGTATATACTTCTAGACTCCCAGATATTTAGACTATGTCACAAACTAAGATAATAACTATTTATTTAAACAATTATTAAATTACTTAAATCTACTTTTATTTTGGCACTGGGTATCGGACTCAGGACCTTGTGCTTGCCAGACAAGTGCTATGCTGTTGAGCTATCTCCCCAACATCAACATTTAAGTACCCTTTAACTTTCAAAATGTAGTTTCCTAAGTAGTCAGTGTTTTGTCCCAGAGTATCATAGTGGCACATCCCAACAAAGTCTTTAAAAATTATAATGATATATATTTAACTTGGCTGTAATTAAAAGGTTAAGTTTTCTATGTCAAAAGCAACAAACTTGTCTTAAAATACTAAAATGTTCTGGGTGACATTTACAAAACTAGATTAAAAAACAAAAGACTTATATTTTACAAAGATAATGTCTCATGTTTTCTATGTTAGGTTTATCATTTTTCTAGATCAGAGAAGTTCTAAGACTTCTGTAGGCCTCTCCTATGGTAATAGTGCATACCCTGCAGCTCAGGAAAACAATGTGGTTCTTGTACCAGCTATGGGTGCACCAATTATGCATTCCAGAACTGGCAATAATCTGGCTTGAGGGATGTAGCTGACCTGCTATTGGACTGAGCTGGCCTAAGATCCACTCATTAGTTAACCTCTGTAAGACCCTATTATGACGGTGGACCATAGTGATGTTTCAGGTCTCCTGAAATCAATATTAGCTCAGAGCCACTGTTCAGTAGCCCCAGCAAGACCAGATTAAATCCTTTTCATCAATGCACATTTATGCTGATAAAAGACAGTAGGTCTTTTGGAGAACACATAGGTAAAGTTTAAAAGCATTAATAGTATTTATTTTTGGAAGTGTATTGAGATCCTTCCCTGAGGGAACCTGGACTTCTCTTTGTTCTTGGGTTTATAAACTGACTCAAATTTGAAATTTTCCTTGAGGTGTAACTCTGTTCTTATTATTCAAGTTAGATTTTCCTTCACTTGATCCAGAACTCTTGTGCTTTGTAGATCAAATAAGATTTCAATAAGTTTCTCATTAACTTCATTTCTAGGAACACCTTGACCGAGTAGGTAGTGAATAAAGATACCTCCAAGTGAGACTGTCATATTGCTGCTGTCAGTCTGAGGTCCTCTAAGACACTCAATTCAATTTTGACTTTGAAAATCTAGTTCTTAGATTTCAAGTGTAGCCATAACATCTGTGTTTGCCAATTCAGTGGCAGAGTGCCCTCTACTCCTTTGGGCCTAAAGAAACGATTGCAAGATTTTCAAGAATGGTGGGTGTTCCCTTCAAAATTTAATTTTTACGCTCATGATGGCTTGCTCTCCTGATACAATCTTCGTGGATGAGTGGAACTTGAATAAGAATCTGCTCCTAGAGACCAGGGATACGGCTCAGTGGTACAGTGCCTGCCTGACAAATGCAAGGTCCTGAGTTTGATTCCTGATACCAAAGGGAGAGGGGGAAGAAGAATCTACTCTGGTATCCCGATCTTCCAAAGAAGCTTTTCAATGTTATTTATATTCAGGTAAGTCAAACGTTTTCACTTTCATTTACTATGAACCACATTTTGGTTTAAATTTCAGCCAATCAACCAAACTAGTAGAGCTTTTTCAAACATTTAAACTCCCCAGATAGGTATGAAATGAATGTTCTCATTGGCAACAAAACACATTCTTGAGAATTTAAATCTTTGATGTCTGCACCTACATCAAGACATTCCCTTATATAGTAATTCTACATTTCATGATTCCGTTTCTTCCCAAAAAATCTCTGTGAACTTCCCAAGGTTGAAAATTCAATTTACATTGCAGTTCAGTCACTTGGTAAAGAGACTCAGAGTTCCTTTTTAAGCAGGTTTAAATCTGCAATTACAGGATAAAGAACTACTTAAGAGGAAGTGCTAACACTTTTAATTAATATATAAAGTATTTTTAAATGGGTTGATGCTGTGAGTTCACCTTGCTCTTTCTCTAGTTATTGAGCAATAGTGGGAAAGACAGCTTGCCACTAATCCCCATCAAGATACTCTTCCTGTTTTTGCAACAATATGTCATTGTTTTTGAGGTTTTCTTTGTTTTAATATTTTTGTGAAATGTGTTACTATATGTTCATAGTACATAATGATGGCATCTGTTGTGAACCATTGCCATACGTACGCAATGCACATTAATTATTTTTGCTTCCCTCCCTCCCCTTTCCCCTGTACTCCCCCCACGTATTGCTTGTTGGGAACCACTACTCATACCACGATCTTTGTTAGTCAGGGGACTTCAGACAAACAGGACCAATAACAGAAAGTTCACATTCCTGTGCAGTTTGACAAGTGCAAATAATGAAGTTTGCCAGGCTGGAGGTTCAGAGGAAAGTGGAAGTTTGAATCTAAAAAATATCTGCCCACAGAATTTCCTCTTCTAGGGAGGTAGGTCTTTGTTGTTTAATTTGTTTCCTATTGATTTCTACAATTAATTTAATGAAATCAAATCAAATAATTCAGTATATTTGTTCACATCACAACCCATCCATGTAAAAGTTAGTTTTCAGTTACAAATTTTTGTGTTGACATTCCTTAGTTGTGATACAATGCTTAATAATAACAATGTAAAAGAGGCAACATATATTTTAGCTTATGGTCACAGATGATTCAGTTTGTGGTCAAGTAGCTCTTTCTTTTGATGTCTGTGGCAAAATATGAAAGATAAAAGCTCAACTTATGCAGACAGGAAGCAGAACGAAACGATGAAGGGGCCAGGGCTGAGATATTCCCCTCAAAATCATGCCCCCAGTGATGGTTTTACTCTAGCTGGTTCCATATTTTAACAAGTCATTGGGCTATGAACTCATCAATGACTGAATTCATTAATGAAATTGGAATACTCATTATAGAATTACCATTCTAGACTTCACCTCTGAACACTGCTACATGGTGGATCAAGTCCCCAACATATGAGTCACACAGGCACACTTCATTTATAAATAATAAAACATGCTTTCATCAAAGCATCTAATATAAGTTTTAGACCAAACATACCAGGCCTTGCCAAGTTAATGTGAAAAAGTGGAATATCTTCCTGAATTCTGAAACTAGAAATATTGAACATTTTCTTTCTTATTCTCTCCAAAAACAGGAGCATAAAATGAGATGCTGGCTACACCAGATACACATGTTGAACTGGGAGTCAGTAGCACAGGTGGTGAGGAATGATCTTTGGAACTCATGATGCTTTAGATAAAGCTCCTTTTTCTACTTTCACTAGAAATATATCATTGTTTAAACTGTAGAAAATAGAGAGGTAATGGCAGAATTAGAGCTTTGAAGATTTCCCATCACTGAAAATCCAGAAAATGAAAATTAAAGCCAAGCATGACAGAAGAAGAAGAAGAAGAAGAAGAAGAAGAAGAAGAAGAAGAAGAAGAAGAAGAAGAAGAAGAAGAAGAAGAAGAAGAA